GAGACAGTTAATAAAGAGTATTACTAAGGGCAAATTTGTAAAATTAATCATTTTGTTTAAAACAAATTTAAATAGGAGGTTGTCCTTGGCGCTGCCCTATACCATTCTGGTCGCCAGAATATCAGTATTCTGGGGTGGTTGGTGGTGTAAACAGCAGATGAATAGAAAGACAGAGATCTAAAAAAACGTTCAACTGCAGATGCGAACTGCAGCGGCGCGTGGATGAGGCGGCGGCGGTGATTTGCACGGCGGTAAGCCGCGATGTTGAGGTGAAGACGACGGTAGGTTTATATCACTACCGAAAGCACAACATCCACGACCACTATTCACGCCGGAATTTCTACCGGAGAGATTCTGCTCGGAATTTCTGGCCAACTAACAGATAATAACACTAACTAATTATATTTGCCTACGTGTCTCTGATACCATGTGAACAAGTATTGTTGTATTTCATATACTTGATATTAAAATTCTATACAAGAAGCTATATTTATAGCTATATTTAGAGTATTAGGGTTTCCTATACAAGATATACAAATGGGCTAAGCCCAATACTACTAGGGTTTCCACAATGATAACAAAAGTAATGCTTGAACTTCATCATCGAATTTAATCTCAACCAAAACTAACCTGGATATAATTGAATTAAACTCGTTGACGTGATCTGTCATGGCTGCACCTTCCTTGATCCTTGTGTTCACCAACTGTCTGATTAAGAAAACCTTGTTGCCGCTGAGGGTTTCTCGTACATGTTGGATAACGCCTTGAGCAGTCCAAATGTTGTCTTCTCGTTGACGATGTTGTAAACAACATTTTTCGCCAACGACAACCTCACCACACCAAGAGCCTGTCGATCCAGCAAGTTCCACTCCGCCCTCGCCATCGATTCTGGTTTGTTCTCAGACAAGGGCAGATGAAGCTTCTTCTGGTAGAGATAATCTTTGATTTGCATCTTCCAGAAAGCGAAATCTTGACCATCAAATTTATCGATCTTAACCTTCCCTTCATCAGCCATAGCTCTGATACCAAATGTTACATTTTTATGTTAAGCAAAACGATAAATTAAAGAACTAGAACACAAGAATTTACGTGCTTCACACAATCGGGTGATTGTACTAATCCACGGCGAACGAGAGAGAGTAGTGCATTATTATCAGTGTGTCGTCAGGGTTTACAAGTACACAAGAGTCGTTTAAATAGGTTTAAGAAAACCTAAACGGTAATTAGAGCCACAGGCCCAAAAACTAAGCCCGTAGTAATGTTTTTCCCGCATACCCGGTTGGGTACCCTACTGTACCCGGTCGGGTATATGTTCATGAAAGCCTTTCTCCACGCTACCCGGTCTGGTAGCCAGGCGGGTATCTCCTTCTGGTCCAAACTGTCAACATACCCGGTCGGGTATCACTTCCAGAGGGTTGCCCGGCCAAATTCATCTTCATACCCGATCGGGTAACCCAACCTACCCGGTCGGGTATCTTCTTCATCATTCAGAACAAGTCTCCATCTTCAACATAACTCAATAAGTTTTAATTTGATAACTCCATTAACCGTATCAAATATGCCTCTTTAGCACACAAAATGATAGATTTTGAGGAAATGGGGGTAATTTATAATTTTGTTTCTTATTTGAAAAAAAAATCTCTTCACCTCTTTACTTTTCTTTTTTAGAGAGGGGGAAGGATGGACAGAGGGATGATTACCAATCTGTACACTCCAGCTTCAACACCATATTTAAGTTCAAGGAATCTTGAGTAGCAGCATTTTCAGCTTTATCAATTTAATTGTAACTGGGAGGGGGCGGCTTCTGTATAGGAATTGTAGACATGCATTTTTTTTAGTATTATTACTGGCCTTGTCAAGGATGGGAAGAATAAGTTTCTTGGCTTATTACTTGTCAATGTACCGAATACTTATATTTCACAATGGGCTACACATTTAATTGAAAGTTTTGCATCAAAGTTCTTTCTCTTTAAGAAGTGTTTTTAAATATTCATAGTTCTCTTAATAGGAGATTGAGTTTGTGGCAATGGTCCATATACACTCAAGGTAGATTTTATAAATATTTGATCTTTATCAAACCAACTTTAACTGCAATTATATTTAATTATGTATTAATAAATATTATAAAAGTTAATATTTTGTAAATTCACATTAGTAGAAAATTAATCCTGCGTAATATTTTATATATAATAATTTGATTATATATATTATGATTAATCATGGTTAAAGTAAAATGTATGAATAATGTAAAAACCACAATGTTACAATTTTAAAAAACATAGCAAAAATAACTTTTACACTGTGATAGAATATTACTCCCTCCGTCCCTCAATATTTTGTCATGTTTGACTGACACGAGAAATAATAAAGTAAAAATTGTGTGGTTGAAATATCTGCAGAGGAGAGAGAAATGACAGGAACCACAAATTCATTGATTAAAAGGAAAAGGGACAAAGTTTTTGGGAACTCCAAAAAAAGAAAAGAATATAAAGTTATAAGGGGCGGAAGGAGTATTAAATAGGGTGATTGTTGTAAAAACTAGGGTCTGGACCATGTAAAGAATTATGAGTCGGTCCTTAAAAATAGAATGACGTATCTGTAATCTCTTTCTGTTGAATGAAATTTTCAGTTTTCTTGATCCTATTCTGTTGAAGAATTCTGGTTATTGTGTGTTGATCTATCAAATGGCAGTAAATATCTATGCTTTGTATATCTAAAATATTTTGTGCGGGTGTATACATGCATAACTTCTATAACTCTGCAAGTATATTTAGTATACATGCTTTCAGTTTTCTTAGTAGCATTTCCATAAGAAATGATTGTAAAATCAACTGTGGGCCTGTTGATGAAACTTCTGTAAGTATATTTTAGTTCTCACAGGTCTTTATTTTACATCATTTTCAATGGAGTTTTACACACTATTTTTTTGTTTGGGGATATGATGAAATAAAGCAGAATTATTTACTAAATTGTATGCTCGTTTATGTTATGAAGTAGCAATATGTTCATGCAATTTATTTGAAACCCGCATTTCTTCCGGGGCTAAATAAAATCTCATTCCTTTATTCAACAATCAACACCTTCTACATCACCATTCTTTCTTCAATTTGACAAAATCTTTCTCATCGGTGTAACAATAGCGACGATTTGTATTCCATTTGGTTTTCCTACTATAAATCTATTAAGTCTTTGATATTATTGAGATCCATTGATTTAATTCTTTTTTATATCGTTTTGTTTATTATGTCTTTGCTTTAAGCGGCAAAGGTTCAATAGACTACTCTTTCCTTCTATACATGGTCAATCAATTACATTTGATTGCTTTATGAATTAATCAATCAATTACTACACTTTAATAGTCACTCTTAAATTTGTAATTAGACTTGTACAAAAACAGACTCAAACTACTTTCTGCCTTTTTTATTATAATTTTTCCTAAATTTTTGCACATTAGAGTGGGCATGCATGACTCATAACAAACAGTTACTGATAAAATTGATACTAAATATTTGTAAATTTACACAATTGATTCGGAATATTTGGAGAGAGATTAATGGAAGAACATCACATTTCTCACAAGTGTATTTGATCTTACGTGAGTTCACATATTTTATTCTACGTCAATACAAATGTAGACATATTTATGTATCTAATATTTAATAATAATAATAATAGATAATGGTATATATCTCAATAGTTCCTGACTTCCTGCCTAAAAAGCCTTGATTTTTTTACAATTATCAGAATAATTTAGGACACTTTTAAAATAAAATTACAAGTTTTTAAAAATTCGTAGTGTGCTTATAATGTACACAAAAAAGCATAAAAACTACTTCGTATAACTAAACCAAAATATTCAAACACTATGAAGTTGTTCGGTTCGTCTTATTCATATTGCTTATTGTTTATTCTTATCAATCTAGATAAGAAAAATTCAGGTTACATTAGACCAGAAACATTCAAATCAAAATTATGTATTATTACTTATATAAAAATAATTATTATTATTGTTGTTGTTATTGTTACTGTTGTTGTTATTATTATTATTATTATTATTATTATAATCATCATCATTATTATTATTACTATTATTACTATTATTACTATCATTACTATTATTGTTACTACTACTATTATTACTATTATTATTGTTATTATTATCATCATCATCATTATCATAATAATAATAATAATAATAATAATAATTATTATTATTATTATTGTTATTATAAGATATTATTTTTCATTTCAAGTTAAGTATGAGCGTTATACAATATATTTACATTTAAAAAAATCTTAACAATTACACCCTATCAAAATTTTGTTCAATAAAATGTTAGTTACGAAGTATATGAAAATGGATACTTCTAATATCTTCGTGTTTTTAATAATTAATATGTTCTTACAATGATTGACTGTTATTGATTGCCGTAAAATTAATGTGTAGCTCAATAGTGCTCAACTAAATGTAATTCTACGATTGTAGTTTATAATTATCAATTTTATAAATGAATTTAGAAAGGATTGAATTCTTTTAATTTAACTCACACTGTCCTACTAAACTTTGCAAATTTTCATTATTTAGAAGTATAATTTTTTTGACATATCTATTTAAAGTACTCCGTAATAAATACGAAGTATATGATTAATTGCAAACAAAGGAATATAAATCACTATAAACAATTCACTTAGGAAAAGTTTACAAGTACAAAAAGCATGGTAAAAAATACGCACTATTGAGTATTGACATAAGAGTATATAATTAAAAATATTTTTAATATGGTCTGATCTGCTAAATATTTGGTTTGTTTGCATTTTACAATTATTAAAGTCTAATCTGAAGTTAAATACTGTCTAAATAAAAACATGCTAAGATGTTTATAACATGTTTATGTAATTGTATTTTCCTAATATTTAGCCCATTTTGGTTATTTAAAATTCATTTTGGTTATTAAAAAAAACAAAATGAATTGGTCTCTAGGCGGGGACTTTTGGCGCATTAGACAGCATACTTGAAAAATTAACTTCTTTTTCAAGTCCCGGCAAGATCAGCTTTCGACGGCAAGAATCTGCCATTGATTTCTCGTTCAAGCTAACACTATTTTACTAACTCTCAGTACTACGGTTTATGGAGTATTTCTTAGCGGTTTCTTTCTCACAAGCTTCATATTCCTTGCAATTCTCCTGTTTCTGAAATACTCTGTATACTTCATTTTGCTGTTATCACTCAACCCTCGAATTTCTGAAAAGGCACACCCTTCTTCTCAGACAAAGGTACTTGCTCATATTAAATTGATTCGGAAATGGAAAGAAGTTACTATTTTATTCCGTTGCAGAGTAGTACCCATGGTTAATTTATTCATTGATTGTTCTATTCCATTGCTCAAAATTATGATGTTGTGTAAAAAATCAATGCTTGTTCTTGTTGAGTCTCAATACACCTTTTTAGGAAAATTTTCAAATTTTCTGCTGAACTCTTTGAGGTGTTTGGTGCTCTGATTTTCCCCGAGCCAGATCCTCGGCCTGGTAAAATACTCTTTCTACACCCTCATCTATGCAGCCATTGCAATTACAGCCTGTGCTTACTTTTGTAAAAAACATGACTAGTTAATGGTCATAGTTTGATGGATTTTCCTCAACTATATCAAGTTTAGTTCCCCATTGGTTACTGATTGAGAGGGAGAGATGAAAACGGCAACAACAAGTAGGGTTGTAGGAATGTGAACATTCCCATACAAGAATGTTATTTAGTGCAGTTGCAATAGGTCTAGATTTGTAGTTTTTAAAAAGGATTTGGACTTTTTAAGGTTTAACCAATGAGGCAATGATAAAAAAGGGCAGCCCGGTGCCTATTATTATCATTATCTCATCTGTTAACCTTTCAAAGTCCAAATCCTTTTTAAAGACCACAAACAGATGAGGTGATCGTAAACAAAAATAAATATAAAAGATTGTTATTGATTTACTAGATAATACAAAGTAGTTTTAGAACATTCTAATTCCTTTTGATCCCATCGCAGTTTTTTATTTGCTTGTTTACCAATTTTACATATGTGGGTATAGGTTTTGTATCTTGTCATAGATGGATATGGATCGTGGAATTAGAAGGTTGCCCAACTCCTCTTTAAGCATATTCAAACCGGAGAAGGAGGTCAATTTTTCTACCTTTCAACAATCATTAGATATTCCAGACATCCACAAGGATGCCCCTTCAACTACACACTCTCCTAACCTTGGCAATTATACTCCTACTGTCGACTATGTTTCTACACATAAGTACCTTATACAGTTTCTATTGGAGGAGGAGAGCATTGATGGGAACAACCCAGACATGTCTTTTGATCCCGTTGCTCTTAGTGCTGCTGAGAATTTCTTCCATGAAGCCTTGTGTCACAACCCTTCATCGCCTGTTAACAGCAATGCAGGAAGCTCCAGGTATGAAGTTGAGTGTCATGATCTCTACAACCCTGACACTCTATATTGTTGATCCCAGAGAATCTAAATCATCTGTAGCAAGTGATCATCCTGATGTCCCCATCGAGTCATCATCAAGTCAGACTAACTCTGATAGTGCAATGGTTTCTCAAATGGATGCTTTCCTAAGTGCTAATTCGGTTCCAAATATATCTTATAATGATGATATTGGCTCCATCTTGCAATTTAAGAAAGGTGTGCTTGATGCTAATCGATTCTTTCAAGCTGATAAACGCTTGGTTATTGATTTGGATAAATACTCAGCTGCTCCACACCGTGAGGAATTGACCAGAGATTATGTTTTCAAAATACAGAAAGGCCTTTCAGCTGATCTGTGTAGAGGAAAGAAACATTACCATCCAGACGAAAGTGGGTTAGAAGAAGAAAGCAAAAGCAAGCACTCTGCAATCTATAAGGAGGAGGTTGAGTTGTCGGAAGTGTTTGATAAAGTTTTGCTGTGTACCGATGATAATGATGATCCATCCAGAATTGGCACACAACAGAAAAAGCGAAATGGTCGTAAGAGCCATTTAAGGAAACGAAGAGATGGTTGTGAAATTGTGGATCTGGAGTCTCTTTTGAAGGGCTGCGCACAATCTATTGCTGCTGCTAATTATAGGGATGCAGCAGATCAATTACAGAAGATAAGGCAGCACTCTTCACCTACGGGCGATGCAAACCAGAGGATGGCCAATTATTTCGCTGACGGTCTTGAGGCACGACTGGCTGGAACTGGGACACAGCTGTATTTGGCTTTATCTCCTGATAAAACCATAAATGTTGAGATGCTAAAATCCTACATGTCTTCTTGGCCATTTATGAGATTATCAATTTTGTTTGCAAATAGAATGATTTATGAAGTAGCGTCGAAAGGTGCATCGCTGCACATTATAGATTTTGGCATTCTTCATGGTATCCAGTGGCCCACACTTATTCGGGATCTTTCAAAAAGACCCGGTGGCCCTCCAAAACTTCGAATAACAGGAATTGAGCTTCCCCAACCTGGTTTTCGTCCATCACAAATGGTAGAGGAGACTGGTTGTCGCTTGGCAAAATATTGCGAGCGTTTTGGTGTACCATTTGAGTACAATGCCATAACAATAACAAATTGGGAGAGACTTAAGATTGATGATTTGCAGCTTGTGAGTGGTGACGTGATTGCTGTGAACTGTTTGCTTCGATTCAAATACTTATTGGATGAAACAGCAGTTGGTGCGGACAGCCCTAGGGATGCTGTTCTAAACTTAATCCGGGAAGTAAATCCTCATATATATATGCAAACTGTTACTAGTGGATCTCAAAACTCTCCTTTCTTTATAAGTCGGCTTCGAGGGGCTCTCTTCTTCTATAGTGCTATCTTTGATTTGCTTGATGCTACTTTACCGCGCCATGACAATCAGAGACTGAATTTGGAAAAAGAAGTTGTGGGATGTGAAATAATGAATATTGTAGCATGTGAGGGAAAGGAAAGATTACAAAGGCATGAAACATGCAAGCAGTGGCACTCTCGCATCATGAGGGCTGGGTTCAAGCCCATGTTTATAAACCCTACACTTGTTAATAATTTAAGACGCCGGGCAAGGGAGGGATACAACAAAGATTTTCTGTTTCTGGATGATGGCAATTGGATAATGCAAGGATGGAAAGGTCGGATTCTGGGCGGCACCTCTTGCTGGGTAGCTGAACGAGAGACACACAACCTGTGATTGTTAGAGTAACCTTTCAGGCAATACTGCAATTCTAATTTCATGTTTTCTTTTGTTTCCATATTTGTAAAACACCGCTTGCTAGTTATTTCCGTGTAATCTGTTTGAGAACATCATTCATGGTGGTTCTCTGGTTTTGGATGTTTTTATTAAAATAAACGAGATAATATATTATGTTTGTCTAGCTTCAGACATTCTTTTTGTGAAAAGCTTATAGTCATATGTTATATGTTTACTTGAAACTGTATTATCATTATTTTGGATGTACTCAGAGATAACACATTCTTCAATATTTCGCTTTTAGCAAAAAAATGGCATCCATCAAAGATTCCTGGATAAATTTGTGGCGGCCTGTGGATTATGCATGAATATTCTCAGTGGCGGATCCAGAAAATTTTGTTATTGGGGGCATAAACGGATTTAAATTAGAGATATAATTTTAAACAAAAATTATATACTCAATGTGATGATTGACCATATTATTTTATTTTTATATTCTTCAAGATTCTCAAGAAAAATGAATGAACTTTTTAGATTTGAATAGACTCTGATATCTTTCGTGTTGTTAACCTAGGTGTTTTACATTATCACCTAATAACCTACTTATTAAATCATCAATTATAACTATATTTTAGTAGTCTACTCGCTTTGTCAAGTATCTTGTAGTCTGAAGACATCATTATGACATTATCAAGAAAGAGGCCACTTGTTTGAATTTCATTCATGTTCAAATGTGTTGGCCTTAACATAGAACATATGTAGTACTACGTATATTATAATAGGTTAGAAAGCACATCAAAAAAAAAGATATTCACATGCTTTAGTTTTCTTTTTCCACTATATTTTAGCGATTTTTTAAACACTTATTCTTTATACAGTTATAAACTTACCAAGAACATAAGTATCTTGAGATTTTTGTAATATCATTCCTACTTTTCAATATTACTATCTTGCGCTATGTGATCAATTTTCATTACACATAATCCATCTTAAAATCCCGTTAAAAAGTCAATGATACAATTAAAAACAAACGAGTTCGTTGCATTCATTTTTTTGACAAAAGTTTGTTGGGTTTGTTAAGATTAGATCTATACAGTATCATAAATAGAATAATATACTCTGATTATTATGAATGTCAATGTATAAAATAGGGATAAGGCTCAAATTGGACACTATGGTTTCATCAGAATCTCATATTGGACACTAAGGTTTTAAATGAACCAAATTAGACACTATGGTTTCATATATATCTAATATTGGACACTAAAGTTTCATAATTCATAGTTTTTGAACACTCACTTAGATTGGATAAAGATCAAATTGGACACTCATTTATATTGAATTATGAAACTTTAGTGTCCAATATGAGATACATATGAAATCATAGTGTCTAATTTGGTCCATTTGAAACCTTAATGTCCAATATGAGATTCTGATGAAACCATAGTGTCTAATTTGAGCCTTATCCCTATAAAATATCCTGTGACTCTAGCTTAATTTTGTAAGCAGCATTTCATTTTTTAAGGAACGGTGAATTAATTGACACACAGGAAGTATCAAATTAATTTGACTTAATCCAGAATTTTAAAATTCGAATCTAGTAATGACTTTGTTTTCTAAATCATATGAATGTTTATTTTTTACGTAGGAACTATCTTTAATTGGGGGCAAGCAAAATAATTTAATGGGGTCAAATTGTTTTTTACAAAGGAAAACGTATTTATTAATGTATGCTCCCGATCAATTATGAAAATGTTATTGGGGGCATGTGCCCCCACTCATTTGAACCTAGATCCGCCCCTGAATATTCTCTACTGTGATTCCTATTAAAGCAATACTTCATTGTTTGGTTAGGTGCACTGATAAACTCACAATATGACACTGGTTTTATCTTATATTTTAGGTCATTGCTCACTCTTTGTAAATTACGGAGTAGTTTATTTTTGCTATTAGTATTTAGCCAATAATGATGTATTGCATTTTCGTCAGCTTTTTATAATCTTTAATAATTTCAGGTCCAAATTATACGAACTCATTGAGTCTACGCAACAAATGACCAGATAGATGACCTTGTTGACTTCCAGTATGCATGGGGCATGGAAGCACAGACTGAGTTGGACCTTACAAACTCATTTAGACTTTAGACTTAGGGAGTGCTTGCTAAAAATTAAAAAAAAAAGCTTATTAGTCTTTGGCTTAAAAAAAGCTGAAATGAGTGTTTTCAAATGACAGCTTTTGCTTAAATTAACCACTTAAAAGCTAAAAGTTGGAAGCAGATGGAAAGTTGCTTTAAACTGCTTTTCACTTTTTCTTTTACACAAAAAGCAGTTATTTTACCAAACACCACCGACTTTTACTTTTTCAGAAACACTTTTTTCTCAAACACTACCAACTTTTAAAAAATCATTTTGTAAGAACCCTTTTTTGAAACACTTTTTTCTCAAACTTTCTCTAAAATTACTTTAAAAATCACTTTTTGAAGTAGAAACAATCGCAAACACTCCCTTAACTTTTCATTTGGCTCAAAAAGGAATTTAGACTTCATTAAAAGTTCAATGCTGTTGTTTTCTCTTTAGATCTAGTTTTCTCTTTTGTGTCAAAAAAGAAATTTTGACTTCCTTAAAAGTTGAAGTGATAATACTGTAGTAGATGGTGAGTATTAGATGAAGATTTGACATTGGATTGCTGCTATCTTACTAGTCAACCGGACTCAACCTAACTCTCATTATTTATAACCTCACAAGAATGGGAATATGGTTAGCAATTTTCGGGATTCATGCGGTATTGCGGGTTGCCCATTAAAGTTTTGTTTGGTTACAACATCTTTGATAAAACTGAGATTGGTTGAATGTGTTAAAATTTCTAAAGGGGCGGCGGTTTCTACCGGCCACCATTGATATTGGATCAGTGGAGGCAGTAGTGAGGAAGGGGTGGGCAATTAATTGGAAAGGAATTAGAACTTAGAAGTAGAAAATATATATACGAATTAAATAAAAGTGAGCCACCTTTTTAGAAAAATAAAAACTAAACTTGAAGTAGATAAAGTTGGCGTAGTCAAGTGTTAACAAAAGTTAGTCATATTTTTTCTATCGCTCCAAAAAGTTCAGGTACTTCGTTTTGTATTCTTGTTTGCTTAAATATCGAGAGAATTACCTAAATAGTATTCCCTCCGTCCGGTTCAAATCTTTATACTTTTCTTTTTTGGACCGTTGAACGTCCCATTTACTCCTTTACGTTTTCTTTTTAGACAACTTCTTTTACATTAAATGTTTTAACTACCCTTTACTACCCATCCACTTTTTACATTTGAGTGAATAACATTAATTCCCCCCAAAAGTCAAAGAGCATGCAAGACATTTGTTCTTCTATTAATTGAGTTCCTAATTTACCGTGCCAAAACCAAACGTCAAGTTCTATCCGGGACGGAGGCAGTACTACATTGTTTTTATGATTTTTTTTTAAATTTCTGTATGGTCTTTGTGATATTTCATAGCTCAATGCGTTGCTAGAAATGTATTTCTTTTTACATTTAATTAAGTACTAATATCTAGTATTTTCTATTTGAGCACCGATAAGCACGATAATTACTTATGTAAAAAATTATGGCAGTACATATGTATGCTTTTTATATCTGAATATCATGTGTGGGTATGCATGCGTGCAACAAATTAAAATTTAGTAGCATTTCCATAAGAAATGATTGTAAAATCTGCTGTGGCAACTGCAGCTTCTTATGGCGTCATTATTGCCACTGAGAACAAACTACTATCCATTTTGGTTGATGAAACTTCTGTAAGTATATTTTAGTACTCACAAAGCATCTCCGTGGTGATGTTATCTCAATCTTTTAACAAGGTTTCAAGTTATAGATAATAGAATTATTAGAGGCTTAGTATTATACTTTACATTAAACTCTCTTTAATATAAATATATCTGTCAGGGCTACTTAGGGAGTAACCTTTCCATTATTATCACATGGTATCAAGAGCCCTATAATTTTTTTTTTCGATTCTCTCACTAAACCCTAGCGCCGCCCTCTCTCCTTCGGCGTCGCCAACCTAGCGCCGCCACCGCCCTCTCTCCTTCAGCGCCGCCAGTCACCTTCAACATGTCGACCGCCGCTTCCGCTTCCTTCAGCACGTCGACATCACCGGGCCAGCCAACCGCCGCTGCGCAGATCAGCTCAGTCACCACCACCGGCGCACCTCCCTCTTTTGGTTCGTTGTCGGCAATCTCCTCCGCCTCTTCCGGTGTGACTTTCTCCTCCAACTTTGCATCACCAAGCCGGGTATCTATGCCACACTCTTTATTTCAGCATGTACCACCGGTGTTCCCTTGGTCGGCTCCAATCCCCGTGCAGGCTATCCTTCTAGAGCCGCCGCCCCTCTCGGCCGGTCCGTCCTCTGCTGGCCCCACGTTCGTTGGCTCACCTGGTGTGTCCTCCGTTGTTCCTCCCTCTCGCACACCCGCAGGCAGCCCGGTCGGATCACTTCTTGCTGATTTGGCTCAAACAATATCTCATGTGGCCATCAATGTCACAAATATTGTGACTACTAAACTATTGGCGGTAGAAGACTACACCACTTGGAGGACACAATTCGAATCGTTTTTAGTTTCACAAGCTCTATTGGGCATGGTTGATGGCTCCATTCAGGTACCCCCTGCTTAATCCATAGATGCTCTTAACTGTCAAACTCTCAATCCCGAATTTTCTACTTGGTTGAGAATTGATCAAACCATCCGTTCATGGTTATTTGCAACCCTATCTAGGGATGTTCTTATCGATGTAAGTGATTTAAAACATTCATATGAAATTTGGGAGCGGTTGGAGTCTCAGTTTATGTCTGCCAGTTTAGCGAGATCTATGGAATTAAAGCGTTTATTTAATCAAATTAAAAAGAAACTTGATCGGTCCATGGATAATTATTTGCGAGAAATTAAAACATTAGCTGATGATCTTGCCACAATCAATTGCCCTGTGCCTTAGCGTGAAATTTTAAAAACTACTATTATGGGACTAGGACCTGAGTATGAATCTTTATTCACTGCTGTGTCATTATTTGGACAAAATTTCCCGTTTGAGACTCTCCGTAATCATCTTCTTGAGTTAGAGCAGCGGGTCCTTTATCTCCGCTCCCAGGAGTCCCAGTCCCTTCATCAGGCGTTTGGCGTGGCTGTTTCTTCTCCCAGGCAGCCGTCTGGGCAGCAGCCGACCCAGCAGCATTCCGGA